CAAATACTTGTCACTAGGGGAGTGAGAAAGTGTGCGCTCTTTGATCAGCGAGAGGATCAAGCCAGACTCCAGACTTATGTGCATCCTGCCCAGTGAAAAGACACGCCAAACTAGTGCGCAGCAATCGCCACTATGATGTACATATATTGTTCATCTGAAAAGTACACAGCCCACATAGCTATGGGAACCACAGAGTTATGGGTAATAGTTCAATTTATATTGCCTACACCCAGAGAAAGAAATGCCTCACTCGTTTTCAACAATGTGGTTTCGCTCAGGTGTAGCTTTTCTGATTTATACCACGAAAAAAACACCATTTGAGAATCGTCTGACTCGAAACTTCAACTGCGTCTTACCTGTGTGGTGACAATATCACCAAAATCATCTCAGATAATGTGGTCTCGAGTAAGGGGTTCGAATAGAGTTTCGCGATTTCCAAACCTGATCGGGATTACTGGATCGACGAGTGAACGTAGTATCACCTAAGAGTCGAGTCCCAGATGGGCCACAAAATACACTCGATTAACGAGTCGGAGCAACAATGCTGTCCAGTGCTCTTAGCCGGTTAACACAAAATAAATGAAATCGTAAATGAAATAGTGCTATCGTTTATTAGAGAACAAAAGAATTCACAATGATAATTTACCAGATAAAACAAAAAATAATTGTGACAGCTTTGTTAAACTGTCGTGTTCATCTTGTAAGTTGACTCATTAGAGGACGGGAATGCACATTCGGGTATAGTAAGCTGTTTTTCCCCCTGTCATTCTGATGAACACGCGATAGTTCGAAAAGGGGGGGGGGACGGTAGGTACAATAGCGTTAAATTCCGTATATACAATTATTTGATCAACAGTATTATCAGTTCGTTTATAACCGAGTACTGAAGGATTTGAAGCGATTATATGGCGAATCGCGTGGTGTTCAAAACCAGTGAAGCGTGAACTGGAAAGCTGGCAAGCACTGGACAGCTATTTCTATCCGGTTGGGTCTCATCAGTAGTATGAACCTATAGACCCAAGTGACCTCACAGGTAGCCAACAAGCATATTGGCATTTTCCTACCGACCTATCACGCCGTATATTTATTCCCAGTTTTCAATTCATGTTTCACGTGCTCTGTGCAAACAGAAGTCCACCATCATATTAGTGTATACTTATATGAATATACAAAGCCGTTTCTTATCATATCCATGCGTTGACACAAAATACGACAGGTATGCTTTCCTTAGAAGCAAGGAGCAAACGTCTTGAATTAGATCTGTGGCTGCACATCTTTAGCGTGTTTGGGCTGACGTCAGTTCGAAACGTGATCTTATCAGAGAAAAGACAACAGGCATTTTAATAATGCCAGGCGTGTATGGGCGTATGTGCATCCTTGAAAGAAAAGATACTGTCTTTTTGACTTGGTATCCTACAAAGTGTTGTTGGTCCAAGCAGTTCCTGAAGTAAGCACTTCCTTGAACCACCAATATCAAACTAAGTAATCTGGCCCATTTCGGATGTACAGAGCTCACTTGCTGAAAATATGGACCACACTTTGAATGAGACTGAAGTTGTCTGTAGTATACACCACCTATTGAAAAGGTCACTCATCATCATCCACACCACACCGTCAGCAAGCTTCCCTACACTCCCTGACTAACAGCCATAAACATCCAAGAACGACATCGTATTATATATTCCTAACTTGTTTCGTTGTCATCTAATATTAGGGGATTAATTCTAAACTTTTCCTGTTCAGTTGATCAGAACGGGCATCAGTTAATCATCTACCTTGTTTAACGGGTAACCAGGTGGGCAATTGACACTAAAGCTGCGGTGGGTCTTTCGCAAGAGCCCAATGAACCAAGTGAAGAAGTGACTTATGGGTTGAGAGTAGTATTTACCCAAGAGGAATGCACATCCACTCACATCTTTTTAAATTTTAACGGCAAGTACAGAGTCAAGGAACTCTGTTTGATTCGGGCTGAGCGTTCTTTGGACACTACTTTTACGCAACATTCTCATTTATTCCCATTGACTGTAAACTCACCTGACTCGATAAGCTGAGAATTGTGCGTGAAGACGGAGTTTGAAGATCAGCCCAGCTCAATGACTAACCAATACTTAAAATGTACACGCACACCAAAAGCAACAACACTGATAAGCATTCAAAAATGAATCATTATGACCTAATATCCCTCGTACGGTTCTTTAGTGAACTATTCAAAACATTTGTGCAAATGTCAAATACAGTTGATGCTTTTTCGGGATGCTTTCGAGTATTGAATCATTCATAACGCTAAAATTTAGATATTGAATCCATTGGTTTTAATACCACTAAAACTAGCACATCTGGTGAACTAAATCAAAACATACGATTTGTGGTTAACCTTAGAGGCTGATATCCAGCGGTATGAGTAAGCATCATTTTGAGCTGCAGATAATCTGTTTGAATCCAACCACTGCCCAATAACTACCAGTTCCTTGTTTCCCTGGGCAGTTGTTTGATGGGCTACTTCCGTCTTCCTGCAAATGGATCGTATGACTGATCATTCATTCCACGTGATCATTAATCAGTGCGTTTCTGTTGGAGATCCAATCACCTGATGTAGTTGTTCATGTTAGACTCTGACCAGCATCATTCCAGACGGTTTTGTCCGTGATCCAACTTGATCTAGTTCTAGGCCATTGTTTAATTAGTCGACCTATTACCATAATCACTCATTAAACTATCCACCGGGTTCCTATCCACAGATTTTGTTGTGTGCGCTGATTTCTTATGTTGGGTTTCGGACCCCTATCCATTGGTGTTAAGATCGGAATCCGGTTTTAACAAGTCAATCGTGAGGAGCACCAGGCTAATTTCATAACTGTTAGTATTATTAATATATTTACGGAAATAATGGTTATCTTACATTGCATTCAAACGATTCAATCAATTGTTTGTTTCGAAAGTTCTATAAAATGAGGGATATTCAACCTTCATTTACAATACTTCGTTCATCAAAACTTTCGTGTTCAGACTAGACGTACGAATGACACGAGCGACTCTTGCTTAACCCCCAACGATAACGCGGAGAGAGAACACAGCTTTAGACAACAGTTAGTGTATATTATTTGATTAGATATCGATACTCAAATATATAGAACAAATCACGCATACGAGAGCGGCACAGTAACGCACCAATCAATCAGCTGGAATCCATGATAAATGGACTGATGGACTGATCGATTGGACAAACATTGGCTGATTCGTTCCAATCAGACTCAGCTTGCCTGGAGCGTTGTGAGCATGCGTGTGGTTGAATCGGAGACGCGCGCGATTCGAAATAATCGTTTGAAGAATCACCTTGAGTTGCTGCCCATAACCCCAGGGGTCAGAACATCAAGCGGGATGAAATCTTCGCTGATGAGGTAAAGATTGATGACGAAATAAGCGTGAAATCGTCCATGTTTTGTGAACCCGTCCCGGGAAATCCGTGGTTTGAGGGTTAAGATGACTCAGAAGAAATTACTGAGCCACCCAAGTATGTCTTAAGGAAGTCCGTTGACGTGCGCCGGATGCGCTCATTCAAGGACCGTTTAGTAGCAATTCGTTCGAGTCCCGTGGTGGATGCTCGGTCGCGCCGTAGTCAGCCGTTTATCGAAGGCGTTAGAAACGACAAAGAAGGCTTATCGACTCCTTTGGGGATTCCAAATCCCAAAGACTTGTTGCCAAATAGGATCCTGCCTGTTTACTCGTACTACTTCAGTAAAAGTGACAGATAGTGCTTGTATTATGTCCGACATTTGGGTTTGCATATCTAATTCCACCGACACAGACATGATGACCGTGTCTTTAGCCTGCTGATTTCGAGGGGTCAGTGATGCACGAGAGATTATCCGCCTGACCAATTTTCGTCATGAATCGGAACCGCATTTCGAAATCGTATCCTAATAACATAATAACCCAGCGCTGCAGTCGGTTAGCTGAGTAAACTGGAGCACCTTTATTCTAACCGCGGACCGAGACCAACGGTTTCTGATGCGTCAGGAGCGTGAAGTGGTGACCATGTATCATCTTGTGGAACATTTTTACGGCAAATATAATAGCAAGGGCTTCTTTTCCAGTTTGGCTGTAGTTACGTTTGGCTGGCGTCAGGGGTCGTGCAGCATCTGCGATAGCTTTTTCTGGTCCATCTGGGAACACATGCAAGATGACGGAACGAACACCATGGTTTGACGCATCGGCAGCCACTATAATTTTGAGTTCTGGATTGAAGTGAGTCAGCAGCAGATCGGAGAACAACACTGTTTTGCCACCGTTAAAAGATTGCCTGCATGCTGATGTCCAATTCCACTTTGTATCATGTTGTGTTTCAAATTAAGTGGGTAAATGAGCACACAACAAACTAAGCAGTAAGTTTATTGTAAACAGTAAATATGTAGCCGGTTCACAAACCGGGAAACAAGCGGTAACAAAACGAAGTTGTACGGTGAAACACAAAAAAACATTTTGTTGTTCCAGATATCTTCCATTTTCCTGTGTTTAACTGTTTCACCCCCTTTTCACCCTGTTCCGTACTCCAATCCACATGTCCCTTTTCACTGTTATTGTAATTATTGTTCTTGCGTTAGCATCATTCTTGTCTACAAGCCGGTGGTATATATATATATATATATATATATATATATAGCAAGGCAGGCAGACAGACATCGGCCCACACGTCGCACTACATGTGAATGCCGTGAAGCCGACATTAAAACAGTCGGCCTATCGATCAACCAATCAATCCATCAAGCAGTCTAGCCACAGGCGTGTATGGTAAACGTATCAGTCAGCATTTCGTTCAGAGGAACGCGCAGGCGGTGCATGTCTAGCATAGGGGTAGCGTAATGGCTCATAAGTCCTCAAATGGACAAATTGACATCGTGTGGCGGAGGTATCTTATCGATGATCGCAATGTTGAAGGGACAACCATGTCTGTCGATGATGAATCCAAGGTATTTCACAGAAGGCATCAAGGATTTACCCTTCTTCAAATGTAGGTGCAAACCGAATTCCTGGATCCGTGTCAGAACTCTGTGCAAGCGTTGTGAGAGTTCGGTGGGTGTCATGCCAGTCACGATTATATCATCACGATAGTAAGCAGCACCGTCAATGCCCGTGAGCATAGTGTTTTAAGAAACGTCGACTACGACCGGCCGTGACGAGCTTCAGAACGGGAACCACGAGCTCGCAAAACGATCAATTTACAGCTGGTTAGACCAGAAGACTTGTGGTTGTTGCAGACGTTTGTTGAGGTACCTTGGCACAAAGGAAGTACCGATACCGGTTAACGAGCGAAAAGTGAAAGTTTCCCTTCGCGATCGTAACTGTAAATGATGTCTCACTATTCTATCGTATGAAACAAAACGTCACATAGCGTTGGTACTGAAGTAAAAATGTGAGCATACATTTAGACTGTAGAGGAAAATTGATGACCGGCAAAAGTCTGATATGGACCGGTTTTCACCGTACCATCGGGCACACTACATATTCATGACCTGTTGGAAAATCGCGGGGACGGTCTTCACGCCGAATGGAACTCGCAGGTACTGAAACAGGGATCGTTTCCGGATAAGCCCCGCCACTAATGCACAATGTGCATGGGCGAAAAGTTAAGCCCCGCCACTTTTTGCACACAACCTTGACCTATTTTTGATGAAAACAATTCCTTATCCGCATCTAGGCTCATTTTGTGCAAAAAGTTTATCCGTTCCGATGTAAAACCTTAAGTGAACTTTCTGACGCTTTCAACTCTCGTTCATTACAAGGAGACGGCAATACGTTTTTTGCAAAGCCACGGAGTGATCCATCAGCAACGTTTATGCGACAATAGTCACCAAATGACACTTTCAACTGTTTCTGATATGTGGAGGTGTAATGCCCGACAGTGTCGGCAAGAAATTGATCTTAGAAATGGAACTTGGCTGGAGCGGTCTAGGATTGAGTTTAGAACAGTAATTCTACTCATTTATTGCTGGTACAAAAATTTGGCAAAAGCAAATTCTGCTCAAAGGAATTATCTACTAGCTACACGACCGCTGTTGACTGGAAGGACTGTCTTCGCGACGTTTGCACCTGGCGGATTTTGCAGACTCCAACAGTTACCGGCGGCCCAGGTCTACACGTCGAGATCGATGAAACACCAATATCTCGCCGTAAAAGCCACGCCGGGCTATTCCTGCCTCAGCAGTGGGTTTTCGTAGGGATCTGTAGGGAAACTAAAGAGTTGTTCTTGTATGCAGTGCCAGATCGAACTGCGGCCATTTTGATGGACACAATCCAAGCTCGCATCGCTGTCGGCTCAATCATCATTTCCAATATGTGGGCATCATACTAGGGAATTGAAAGGATGATTGACATGAGTTATACTCATGAAATGGTTAATCATACAGAAAACTTTGTGGATCCAACGACTGGAGCTCACACACAAACCATCGAATCTCTTTCGCACGTCTGCAAGATGCAGAATAAACGCCAATGCGGGACACACCGATCTTTAGTGGACAGCTACTTGTGTGAGTTTGTTTGGAGGCAAAGATACCGAAAAACGGACCTTTCATGCGAATTATTAATGACATATCCCAATTTCACCCTCTTCGATAAAAAGTAAAGGTAAAAATGTCATATCTTCTTTTATCTAATCTCTTTTGGGTGGCGAGGGTTGATTTTTTGGCGGGGCTATTCTGGAAAAGATCCCTGAAACAGATCAGGGTGGGTGTTGATAGTCAACACCCCGTGAGTCTTCGTCGATTTCTATTTGCAAGGTGAAGCTGGGCGAAGCAGGTGCCGTCGTTTAGCTTTGAGAACAGGTCATCGGTCAGTGGTAGTAGTGTGCATTCAGGGCGTCGTTCAGAAAAATGGGCACAAATTCGAATGGTACCGTTAAACTTTTTGACCACTGGAATGGGTGCAACCCAGGATGAGTAGTTGACTGGTTTGATTACACCTGTAAGTTATATACTGATAATCACGCACACGTCACTGGGTATTTGGGTCGAAAAACAGGCTTTGCATTCAGACGGAGGCACAAATGAGCTTGGGTCTTTGTGCAGCACCTCAAACCATCTTGGAACACTGATGAAAACTTCTCCTTGAGGGTCGCAGTCAGGGTTGCAGAAACTGGTCGATAGATGACGCACTTTTTGAGTGTATAGACACACGTTGATAGGCGCTGTTCAGAGGCATGTCCAGGAGATGGAACTTTTCAAACAGAGTCTGTTGGTAAGGTGACTCGTCCCATTGATCTACATGCCGTTAAACGAAGTTCAGCAATGAGACGTAGTAGTCCGACAGATACGTTCACTGCTTTCCTGTTGATCAGATTGAATGGTGGTCGGCCGAGCGCGTGCCAAGTTCATTTTGAGATCAAGGTTATGTCAGAAGCGGTGTCTGCAAGCGCACGGGCTTATCATTGATGCGGACTGTAAGATATTTGCGCCTTTTCTCCATTTTAGGTTCGACAGCAGAAACTATTGCTTGAATTTTGAGTTCAAACATGGTCTACAATGATTGAATCGTCTTGGCTCTTGACGTCCCTTTGGCATAGAAGGATGTTTGGTGTGACAATAATCTTCTTTGTGTCCTCGTTTGTGGCATTTTTGACACACGTGTTTCTTGAAGGGACATTAGAGTGCGTAATGTCATTCACCGCATTTCCAACATGCTGTGGGGGTCTTCTGATAGTGGCTTCTTGCGGTTTTCGGGTAGACGATGACCGTGGCTTTGTGACAGCATGTAAATTGGATGAGGATGTAGCGGGACCGCGTTGATCAACGATGGCTGAGTCATGCTTGAGGTTTTAGAGCCGCTGGAATTTGTCTGTTAATGTCCGTAAATTGATGTTGGGATCTTGTTCGATGCGATTCAGTAAACGAGTGCGGATTTCTTCGTCGCGGGGAGACTGAAGTGCGCACACAAATATCAGGCATTTGAATTGGTCATCAGTCATGGAACGCAACTTGAATTTCTCGCACTCCAGGTTCACGATGCTGCCAGACAGTCATTTGCATCGTGTTTAACCAACTTGAGGCAGTGATACCCGATACTGAACAAAGACGCCTTTTCACCAAACGTGTCTGAAAGTTATTGGACCGTTTATTCGAAAATGAAATCACGTGGACTGTTGGGCAAGATCATGTCGGTGTAACAATCATGTTCTTTGGTTCCCTGCTTTCGGAGCAGTAATCGCACCTTCCATCCATCATCAACATCTGCGGATACGACCCGGAACACATCTTCCCAACTTTTGAACCAGGAATCAAATGTCGTTCCTGTATCGGGATCATACATGAATTCAGTGATGCTTGCGGTAACAGCGTCAATATATTTACACTATTTAACCAGTTGTGCTGGATTGGAATGTGTACTGAGACGTTATAAAATGGTCTTCATCATCCTTAGATGCGCAGCCTCGAATTGTGCCTGTTGCTGTTTGAGAATTGCTTGTAACTGCTGCAGCGTGATCAACATTGTGGATCCGTGAATGTTCTCGTTGCCAGTTGTTGTGTCCGGACTACACTTACGAATGACACGAGCGACTCTTGCTTAACCCCCAACGATAACGCGGAGAGAGAACACAGCTTTAGACAACAGTTAGTGTATATTATTTGATTAGATATCGATACTCAAATATATAGAACAAATCACGCATACGAGAGCGGCACAGTAACGCACCAATCAATCAGCTGGAATCCATGATAAATGGACTGATGGACTGATCGATTGGACAAACATTGGCTGATTCGTTCCAATCAGACTCAGCTTGCCTGGAGCGTTGTGAGCATGCGTGTGGTTGAATCGGAGGCGTGCGCGATCGGACGTGTAGCTTAACCTCCGCCCTAACTGCAACAACTGATCGAATAACTTAATAACGTCCCGGTATGTCCAGGTATTCCGCTCTCTTATGGCAGCTTCAGTAGTGAAATCTCTCTTCTTTTACCACTTAATGCAAAATAATGAGACATCATTTACAGTTACCGAAATATCCCCCTCAGGCCTGAACTACCCCATAAAGTTGAATGTTTGGAGACCGAATTGGGAATCAACCCTAAAGATAGCTGTAATGATCGTAATAGTAGTAGTAGTACGCACGGAATTCGGAACACGAACCACGCAATGGGAATCACAAGACACGAATCTAGGATCAGCTATCATGGACTGGATTAAGGAAGCACTGGACTGCAATGGCACGAGCTCGCAATATATCATGTGAACGAGACGCGAGGAAAAGGCCACAAGATTGGCAACTCATATTTCGTTTATTGGAAGAAATGAAGGCGGTTAAATAATATGTACAAAGGAAGATCATTGTTTATCTAGGCTTCTACCAATCATGTTGCAGCATTACTTGCTTAATTCTGATTCTGTCTGCACTGTCTCGGATTGACTGGCACGATCCACCAATGGCGTGTAGTCAGAAGCCGTGACGCGTACACGCCTTGTTGACGTCAACTTTTAAATTCCATTGATCACAGTTGTCTAGAAACTGTAGCGTGCCGCTCCAGAATAGGCGTCATCACGTAGGCATGGATCATCACAGTATCCTTCAGGGAAAGGATGAATTATTTATCGCAACGACTAAACACGCCCCAAGCAAGTCAGAAAATAATGATTGAATTATGCGGGTAGAAGACAAATGTACACGTCACCTGAAGATCGTCAAACGGGTATTTTCAATTGCACGGTAATTATGCTGCTCACCACAATGTGAGACTGAAACATTAAAAGAGACTGAATATTTCTCAATTTTCTGCCGAACGTTCCACTACTGAGATGAACGACTAGTTTTTAATGCAGATGTGTACCAGAAATAACGCAGAAGAAAGATGGCCGGGAAAATAAGATTCCTACTTTAAGTGCCGAAGACTGTACGTGTTTGGTGGCAAAAATCATCAATCCAACACAGTTTGTTTGTATGTGGGACGAGTTGTAACAGTTATCCACCTGTGTCCTGTTCACATCGATTTAGGGTACAATCCTGTTCATGAAAAATTCATTCTTGTGGGAAGCGTAACCTTTACTTTGTCACCAAGAATCAGGAGCCATGTTTTTTCCTCGTGATCGTCTTATCGCGATTTAAGGACCTTTTGGGATTTTACTGATCAGGGCGCCTAATATTTGCACTGAT